TTCTTGTTGTGTAAACCTGCTACGCAAGTCATTCTATCTGATTGACTGATTAAAACAGCCTATAGCTGGGCAGGGCAGAATGGGTAGGCATGGTTAAGGTTACTGAGCTTCAGATTCCAGAGAAACACAGGAACCAGATGGCTAGGAAGAGAAGAAGAAGGAAGATACCGCAATGGGTTAGTGTGGAGGAAAACAAACAAACACATAGGTGGATAGGAAGGACTCCAATAATGGCGTGAAAAGACCCAGATGAAGAATACAAGCAAGTACCATGGGATTGTGGGTGGAAAGTAGACCAGGTGAGGAGAATTAAGGTGGATGGCATTGGATGGGGGCTAGGAGATGGATGATGAGGATATTGAGACCGTGTAAGTGAAATATCTGCCTGGCCCATGGTAAATAAGGCAATTATAAAATCTAATAGGTGTCTGTGTCTTATTGTTGTGATAGTGGGTTAGAAAATACCACCATGGTAATGGTAGGACTAATAATAAACCTTATATAGCCCAATACTCATTTTTTATTTAACAAAACATCCCAGACCATGATGAGAGCACTTCCTGTATGGCATAATAGAAAGATGGGACCTTAGATTAGACTGTAAAATGCACAGTTCACAGTGAAGGTGATCAGAAAAGAATTCCTGAGAGCACCTACCCTTGCTCAGACAGAAGATTACATGTTGTAGTTTGAATAGGATTGCATTGCGGTCTGACAATATTAAATTAGTGGAGTGGCATGAAAGGAGAAAGAACGTGAGCTGCTGGAAAAGAATTTCAAACAGGAGTCCTGGAAAGCAGTTGTGGAGATTATGCATAGGCACAGTTGGCTGTTCACGCATTCACACACACAAACACACAGAAAGCCGGACACAGGTAACCACTGACCTTTCCGTGGCCAAAAATAAAATACACAAATGTCAAGAGTGCTTTGTGTGGCCCAAAGAGATTTGGTAAGAGAAACAAACTTTTAAAAGACATACAAAACAAAGATCAGGGCTGGGGAGTATTCTGCACCATCTCAGTATATCATCCAATGACTTCAGGGACCTTTTCTACAATATTCTGATCCAATCCTCACTTCTGAGGGAGCAGGCACCTTCCCAGGTATGGGAGAATCATGTCCTGGCCCTGAGGAGTGTTTTCAGATCACTTCTTTCTTTTTTCAGTTCTGCTCATTCTAAGCCACAATCTGCCTCTTGGAAATGTCACCAGGGAGTCTAAGCCCAGATCTCTTTAGAACAGAGCAAGTTGTGTGTGTTTCTTAGGTGTAGGTTTTAAACAATTTACTGATTGTTTTCTGATCCAAATACTCTATCTAAATCACCTGTTCCATATCTAAGGTATTTACATGCTTTGGCACCCTTATTGTCCTTTGCTCTGTTACCAGAGTTTTAAAACAACCTACCACGGAGGGCCTGCTTAGTATTCCATATTCTATCGGACCACCAGGCATTATATTTTTATTGAAGAATGAAGTTTTTGGAAGGTAGTTGCAGATGGATGGGGTGGAAATACAAGCCATTATGAAATGGTTATTTGTCAGATAAACATCATGTTCTTCTTTGCCGAAATTCAGTATTTGAGCAATATGAAGTAAAATAGAAATTTTAAGTGTCACCTTCACATGGCACTATTTTCCTTTATATGTGGACATCTTTTGATTGAGTAAAGTCTGTTGTCCATGTGAACCCCCACCTCTCATCCACAGGCACTGGACTCCCACAGGAAACTTGTGTTTCCCAGTCCCTGAGCAAGTGTGAGCACAGTCTAATCATTGCCTGGGATATGAGAGACAGGACTGGAAACGATGTGGGGGACCTACCAGCCATTTGTATGTAAGTTCATATGTGAAGAAATTTGAATCTGATTTTGAAAGATGGAAAAGGCTCCCGGTAGATTTTCATTTTGTCATTTCCCAGTATGGATACAATGAAGCTGACTTCCACATCCAAGCCCAGGAAGGAGTAGAGAAAAGCTCTGTGAGAGACAGAAAGTTGTCATAGCTGCAACAGGGGGTACCTAAGTGATGGGCACACAGGGAGACGGAGATGAGCCTTACTAGACACAGACAGCCAGTAGCATCGGTTTTAGATGAGATTTGGATTTTCACCTCAGTCAGCATAGCTGTTGTTGTTCTGAAGATCAGAGCATCTCTGAAGAGCCCTGGGGACCAGAACATCAGACCCTTTCTCCCAGAGAAGTGACACACAAGCAGGCCAGAGTCTTTGTGTGGCAGATGAAAGTCAATACGGTGGAGCAGAGACGGAAGGAACTTTACGTTACAGTCAAGATGGTGGTGAGACTCTCACTGCACACTAGATTCCAAACACAAAGACCAGACCCCAGGAAACAGAGCTACGTCCTCACTCCACTGTCCACAAGACTGACACGAGGCAGTGCTTCATACCTCAGGACCTGTTCAAATCTGGAACAAGTCAGTGGCTGCAGGCTCAGGGGAGTATCAAGCATTCCCATACATCTCTCTGACTCTAGGTACTAAAATCTTAAGTCTGAATAAGGCCAGCTCCCTAATTTGCCAAAAATAAACTATAAAAGCTTGATTTTTCATAGTTAGATTCACAGGAAAGTGGAAGACTAAAGATGTTTTCCAGAAAATAATTGACATGATAGATCCATGAGTCAAAGAAAGAAATTCCCATGACGATAGAAAAGAGAAATGAAGAAAACCATAGGGAGTAGCAGAGCATTTTACTGTGGATAAGGAAGTTAGACCAAAGCTTCATTCTCCTAGTTTTGATTTGAGAATGTGCACATGAATAAGAAAATACCTTTGGGTTTTGTCCCAAACTTAGGTTTTTTAAAAAATGGTGGTCTGTACCACCATTTTTTATCAAATCTTAGCCTGCATTTGTTAAGATCCATTAGTCCAGTGGGCACTACGTATTCATGCTGAGTCTTTGGACACTACTCCTTAGTCACTTTCTCATTTCCACTTTTAAAATAAATGGTTGTCAAATGGTCTCCTCAGTTCTATCTGTGTCTAGCTGAGGTTTTAAAGCTCAGTTAAATTTTGCCTGTTCGGTGTTGTTTTATAGACTATGGTAGACTAGTTAATGTCATATAGCCCTTGGTTACAATGTGTTAAAAATTGTTGGGGATTAGGATTTCAGGAATTTTTATACAATACTTGTTTTGATATTTGTTGAACTATAGGTATTTTCAGAATGTCTGCATAACAGTATTAATATACATTAGTTAGAGTATACAGCATGAGTTGCTAGCATCTAGCATACCACTAAAGGAGAATATGACAGTGTTAATTCTTTATTATTACACAGAAATAGATATAGCTGAGATATTTGGGTGTTTATGAACAATACCAGGGTGTGCAACTCATTCATTAATTCCCCTGGGAATGTTCACTGAGAGACTTTTATCCCTCCAGTGCTGCACTGTGAGATAAGGACACAATTCTGAGTAAAGTCAGCAGATCCAGTTGGATAGTCTTTAAGGAATATTGGTAGGACACCGGAGTGTTAAAAGTTCAAACAACACATCTTCCCTAACTTAAGAATGTGGCAGAGCACATAATCCTCAGCACAACTATCTTGCGTGTGCTGACTAAAGAAACATGTGTACTAACATTTTGTCTTTATAATTTGCATTTTCTCCATCTTATCCCCAAAAGGGCACAAGTGTGATACTCAAATACATTCCTTGTAGCACTGATCCAGCATGGTGCCATTAGTGACCTCCTAATACAGATTTAATGAAAAGGCAATGTATGAAGTTGGCATAATTTCTCCTGTTATGCAGAGCTGAGACTTCTCTTAACCACTGATTTCTTTCTTTGTGATAATCTTTTTCATGTTTTTAGCCAGAAGAAATAGTAACCTTTAAAGGCAAGCGATTTTATGCACATTCCACTGCCATAACTCATCAGTGTGTTCATGGTTAATTCTTAGGTTTCTTGGGAAGAACATTTTATGAAACTCAAGAGCAAATCAGATGTTTCACAGACACACACACAAAAGTTGTATAACAACTTCATGTGCTGGATGAACATGACAGTAATTTAGCACTTGTCGATATGTTATAAGGGAAAACATGCCTTCTTTTACTTGCTGTGTTTTCTGGTAAGCAGAAACTCTGAGCTGTTGAGGAACTAGGAGATGTGAAAGATTTTCACTGGATGCAACAGATCCTAGAGAATATTGGTGCAAAGAACTTTGGATTAGAGAAACAAGAACAATGCCTCCTGGGAAGTCCAAAGGTGGTTTGATCCGTTGGTTGAAAAGGTGCCACATCTCAAGCATGATGACTCATAAAGGGAAACAAACTTGTCATGAATAATTATCCCTTAAAATGATGGAACTCCATTCCTCTTAATCTTTTACATCAGAAGACAGTGCTATGAGTGAGGCTTCCCAGATTGGTGTACTGACCATGTACAGTAAGCAGTGGGCAGCAGATATGCCAGAGGGGCAAACATGTGACCTCAGCTTGGTTAGCCCCAGGTCTTAATGAAGAGAAACACTGTGCCACAGAGAGCGAAAGAGAAGACTAGAATACCACATTCGTTTTTGCACTTTCAAATTTTCTTGCTTTCCTTGACTTTTGGAGTACTTGGAATCAAAGCCAAACACTCTCCCTGCCATGATGAACACCAGCCCTGCATTTGATATTTAAAATGCAGTTTCCAAGTTAGCGTATTTGGGTACAACTTCCAGTTCTGCGAGGGAGGTAAGACATCACCTCTACCTTCAGAAAAGGAAACATCAGCTTCAAGGGATGGACAAATGTGGCTAAAGTTCTGGAACACACAGGTAGCAGGAATAAGGTTCAAGCAAACGCCCTAACATCCTAATCCACTTATTTCTATAACAAGGCAAGAAAGAAAATTGGCAAATGGAACTGAACAGCAACATGGAAATCAAAGTGCCTGACTTAGAGAACACTGGAAATGTTGTTTAGATTCCTGGTCTTCATAGTGGGCACTAAGTTATTCCCTGCTATTGGTGTAAGAAAGAAGGGGCTATGGATAGTTTCAATGCCACTTTGGAAGACAGATTCCTTTTGGTAGGCTTTTCAGATTGGCCTCAACTGGAACTCATCCTTTTTGTCTTCATTTCAATTTTCTACTCTCTGACTGTCTTTGGCAACACCGCCATCATTGCTCTCTCCCGAATGGACCTGCGATTACACACTCCCATGTACTTCTTCCTCTCACATCTCTCCTTCCTGGACCTTTGCTACACCACTAGTACTGTGCCCCAGCTCCTGATCAACCTTCATGGGCGTGACAGAACCATCAGCTATGGTGGGTGTGTGGCCCAGCTGTTCATATCTCTTGCCCTGGGCTCCACTGAGTGTGTGCTCTTGGTGGTGATGGCCTTTGACCGCTATGCTGCTGTGTGCCGTCCACTGCACTACACAACCATCATGCACCCCATTCTCTGCCAGGTATTGGCTATTGCTTCATGGGGAGGGGGATTCGTAAACTCTCTGACCCAGACAAGCCTCATGATGGCCATCCCTCTTTGTGGACACCAGCTGAACCACTTCTTCTGCGAGATGCCTGTGTTCCTCAGGTTGGCCTGTGAGGACACAGGGGGAACAGAGGCCAAGATGTTTGTGGCCAGAGTCATAATCTTGGTCTTCCCTGCAGCACTAATTCTTGGCTCCTATGCACACATTGCCAGGGCAGTGCTGAAGGTCAAGTCAATGGCTGGACGCAGAAAAGCTTTTGGGACATGTGGGTCCCACCTCCTGGTGGTTTCTCTCTTTTATGGCTCAGCCATTTACACATACTTACAACCCAAGGGTAGTTATTCTGCGAGCGACGGGAAGTTTGTTGCCCTCTTTTATACTATCGTCACCCCTATGCTCAACCCTCTGATCTATACCCTGAGGAACAAGGATGTGAAGGGAGCTCTGTGGAAGGTGCTAGGGAGAGGCACAGACTAGGGGCAGGAGAAGAAACCAGGACCACTACAACTTTTTGTGATAGCTCTCATATCCTGTTGTATAGAGAGTCTGGGAATGTGTTGCTTTCTTCTTTGGGAGTTGGAAGTCATGATCTCTTTAACGTTTTTTTCTTAGTGTCTTAGTTACAAGAAGGGAGTAAAAGTTGATTTATCTCAAACGTAGCACAAGAATGTTTGAGAAGACGGTATATTCTCACCACATGCAGAGAATAGCATAGTTGTGGAGGAATTTCTGAGTGTGAAGAGTCATTTGAACATAAAATGCCTTTTCCAAAGCCAGTGATATTTAATGTATGTTGTGTAGATCTCACTTTGCCCATAGGCATAGACCATTGCACATCACTGGTTTCCTGCTTAGTTGCCAGCATCCTCTCATAACTCAGGGTTTAGGTTCTCAGGTCATCTCTCCCTTTCTAGCTTTTTAGTTCTTCCTGTTACTAGAGAAATAAGGAGAGTGTGGTCAGAATTACTCCATCAAACATGTAGAGTTTTAAACATGATGTCATTTAGCTAAATACTTAAAGAAAATACAAAATTGATAAAACAACACCAAATTAAAAAAAAAATAACATCGAAATCCATTCAGATGGGTCACAGCTTTGTTTGTTGCCATGGTGAAGAGACTTCCATTGAAGAAAAAAAAACTGGAAATGATCGCAAAAGCAATAAATATTGAGAAAGCTGTATAACAACAACAAAAAATTGAAGACAGTAACACCAGTGAACACAGAGATGACTTAGTGTGGTGAGGTGGAGTCTTCGGATTCTACCCCACCTGCTTGTTCTCATGACCTTAAATGATGGCTCAGATCAAAGTATAAATGTTCTTATAAATAAGCTTTAAACTTTTTTTTTCAGGTTGGATAAAAAATTTCAATACCAATCACTACTTGCATAGTCTTTGAAATATTTTTATACAAATAGTTGTGAGAGCTAAATGTAATTCATGACTAAACTAAGCTTTACAGTTTTTAAAATAACTTTATCTATGTCTGCATGACATGAGCCTAAGACAGTTTTTGTAACCCTAATCCAGTACCCAGTCCATACTGTTGCACTCTATGATTTTCTTTTCCTGAGGAAGGATTTCCCTCCCATTCCACTTTCTCCCAAGGTCCTGGGTATCAAAGCTAGTGAATCACGATGCCAGGAAATCACTGGGTCCCTGAGCTGAATGTCTACCCAGCTTTGAGAGTCAGAACTTAATAGTAGAGGAATGAGCTTGGAAAGAAATATGGTTGGGAGGGAAACCAAATGTGAGCTGAAAGTGCATCACAAATTCTCCTTGCTCCATTCTGAGCTGGCTCCTGCATCCTTCTGAGTTATGGCCATTCTGCCATCAGTGTGGATGCTTTCGTTCTTTGCATATAAGGGATGTATGTGATCATTTCTTGAACCTTTTATGTCAAAATTCATGTTGAAGAATGTACTGCATTGTCACACTTGAGTCCTCAACATTTAAAATAGTTATATTCCCTCTCCTGACCTCATTAGTTTTATTGATAAAGCCAATGAAGTTGAAATAATTTTTGTATGATTTACTTCAAGTTACTTAAGCATTAAATGAAGGTACAGCATTTGGAACTGGCCTATTATATTTTTGATCCTACTTCCTTAGCTCTGCCATCCATTCTTTTATACCTCTTTAGCTCAAGGTAATGACTAATTATATGCATGAAACAAATACTTTGTCCTATATTCTTTCATGCCATTTAAACAAATATATATATATATATATATATATATATATATACCTATATATGTACATATATAGAGAGATATACCTAATAGAGAAAAGGACTAAAGTTTTGTGACTAATGCATTACTCTTTTATTTGGAATGTAGTAAAGAAAGGTGGTCATTTAAAAACTGAAAGACCTGATGTAAAGCAATTGGTACAGATGGGCACATACAGACATTGCTTTTGCGATTTATATCTTGTGAAATGCAGCTGCCATCTCCATGGAAACCTCTAACCCCTGGGTATTCATGGATATTCTCATTTATGACAGTGGCTAAAAATCATTTAGCCACAGAGAGCAAAGCCATGTCATTTTCAGAAAAAAAGAATGAAACTTGGAAATAATTATTAAGATAATTAAGCCAATCTCAGACAAATGTATGTTTTCTCTCATTTGAAATTTCTAAACTTTATATAGAGTGTTTATAGAGGTTACATGCATATGTATATATTAAATTTTAGATGTTTTTAAATATACACATTATATGTATACCTATGCTACGCATATACCATATGTGTATACATATTACATATATTATATATGCAAAAATAAAATTACATATTTTTCATATATACATATGGTTGTTCTATATTTGATCATATACATGTAGAAATGATCAACAAAATGAAAAATCTGATTATTAAAAAATAACAAAATTGACAAACCCTTAAAAAAAAGAACTCTTAACAATTGAAACCATTTCAGCAGACACTGGAAATGTGATACCACTATGAGAAACAATAGACCAAGGACTTCAAAGACCTACATAAAACTGACAGGTTATTAGATGCATTCAGCTTAGCCTGACTGGATCATAAAGAAATGTAAAGCCTCAACAGATCAGTAGCAATCAATGAGATTAAATAAGTTATTTAAAAAAGCATCTCACCAAAGAAATAACCAGTTTCAGATGGCTTCACTGTTAAAAAAAAAAAAAAAAAACTACCAAACTTACAACAACCAATATCATACCTTCCTTAATTATTCCAGAAAGAAAAATGAAAAGCAGAAAGTTCTTCCAGATCCAATCTGTAAAACCCCCTTTATCCTTATAACAAAACTAGATAAACACACATATACATGCACACACACATACACACATGCACACATGCACATGAACACACACAAAGCTGAAATAATAAACAAACAAATAAACAAAAATAACAGGCCAATATCCCTGATGGCATAGATGATAGTATTAAAAAGACACAAAAAAGAAAATACACCTATTATACTGTATTTATACATGTATAAATACACCTAGGTGTATTTTCAGTACAGATACTAGTAAATCCAATCCAATGGTACATTAAAATGCCTATTCATTGTGATAAAATGTGATTCCCCAAAATGCAACAATGTGTCAATATACATCAAACCCATGACACATACCAACAAAACAAAGAACAAAAAAAGCATCTGATGATCTCCCTATTGAGTTGCTTTGTCCAGCCTCAGTATGAAGGGTTTTGCCTTTTCTTATTGTACCTTGTTTTGTTGTGTTTGGTTGTTGTCTCTTGAAGGACTGGTCTTTTCTAAAGGGAAGCAGAGGAAGAGTGGATCTGGGAAGAAAGGAGGTGGGGGTGGGAAATCAGAGAAGGAATAGTAGAGGGGAAACTGTGGTCAGGGTCTAATGTTTGAGAGAAGAACATATTTTCAATAAAAAAATAATTTAAATAAAAATATCATTTCAATGAATAGAAAAAAGATAAAAACGCATCAGTTCTTTAAGGTAAAGTCTCTTAATGAATTAGAAATGTACTGCATTGTCCTCTACTGTGGCCTGATAAGGCTGCTCCCCCCTCAGGGGGAAGTGATCAACGGGCAGGCCAATCAGATTATGTCAGAGGCAGTCCCTCTTCCCATTACTATGTAACCCACTTGGACACTGAACTGCCATGGGCTACACCTGTGCAGGGGTTCCAGGTCATCTCCACGAATAGTCCTTGGTTGGAGTATGAGTCTCTGGGAAGTTCCCTGTGTTCAAATTTTCTTGTTCTGTTGCTCTCCTTGTGGAGTTCCCGTCCCCTCCAGCTCTTACTGTTTCCCACTTCTTACATAGAATTCCATTCACTCTGCCCCACAGTTGGCCATCAGGCTCAGCATCTGCTTTGACAGTCTATACTGCAGAAGCTTTCAGAGGCCCTCTGTGGCAGGTTTCAAGGTTGTTTCCTGTTTTCTTCTGGCTTTCAGAGGACCTCTGTAGCAGGTTCCGAGGTTGGGATCAGGAGGGGAGGAGGGAGGGGCTTATGGGGGGATACAAAATGAATAAAGTGTAATTAATAAAAAAAAATTAAAAAAAAAAAGAAAACTGCTTTGAGAAATCAGCAAACACAAGACCAAAAATGTCCTTCTATCATCAAGATCATGTACTTCTGTATTTTTTTTACAGGTGATGATATTCGGTCAATAAAATCTCTTTTTTTTTTCCTCTGAAAAAAAAAAAGAATTAGAAATGTACCCCAACATAATAAAGTCATACATATAAGTACTGAATGGGAAAAAAACAAAATTTTCTCTCTGAGATTCAGAACAAATTAATGACAGCCCCTCTTACAACTCCTACTCAGTACGGTACTGGGAGTCTTAGTGAGAGCAATCAAGCTAGGAAATAAAGTAAAGTATATGCAAATTAGATATGAGGAAGCCAAATTGTACTATGGGAAGATGACCTGACTTTATAGAGATAAAAAGCTTTTGAAATTCACCAAAAGAACTACTAGAACTAACAAATTCCTCAGAGCCACAGGACACAACATCAGCATTAAGTGGCAGAAGTGATGCAAGCTTTCTCCTCGTCTAAACACACGTTCTTTCTTATTCTGTGGAGTAGGGCTCTGCTGCTCCTCAGCCCCCAAAGAAAAGTATCCACAGGAGGTCGCAGTAATCCAGTCACAGCTTTACTTGGTGGCTTCCTCATGCTTGAGGCTACTAAACTGACAGTTGAGAATATTAAGTTGGAAAGATGGCTCAACAGCTAGGAGCACTGGCTGCTCTTCCAGTCAGCCTGGGTTTGACTGCCAGTACCAACATGGCAGCTCCCAACCAAACTCCAACTTCAGTGGGTTCAATGCCACTTCTGCTGGCACAGTACACACGCCGCATGCAGGCAAAATGCCTGTGCACATCAAATCAGATCAAATAAATAAATAAAACGCATGCTAAGCCACTCTATTCTGAATTGTACACCTCACATGTGTGTACTGTTTGATAGATGAACCATTCTGCGTGCAAAATG